GCGGCCTTTGGCACAAGAATATGGCCCTGTCCACTCACTAATGTGCGCTTTTTCATTGATCAAGGACACTATTTCTGCCTCAGAGAATACAAATGATATTTTTCAATTTGTTAGTTTTCGTCATCAATTTGACAGCACCTAGAACTGCCTGAAAGGAGAGTCTCAGTGAAGGATTATCTGTGTTGTGTCGGCCTGTGGGTACATCTGTTGGATACCGTGTTAAGTTAATCACTATGAGAGGACCCAGCCCAGTGCGGGTGGCACTCTCCCTCAGGAAGGCGCTCTTGATCTGAAGGTGGAGAAGTCAGGCTGAGCATAAGCGAGCCCGCGTGTGCACACACGCTTGTTTCTCTCTGCTCTTGAATGGGATGGGACTGACTACGTCAAGTTCCTGCCACCTGGAGCCCTCTGACATAGTGGACTGTGATCTGGAATTGTAAGCTAAAACAAGCATCACCACAATTGTACTTCATCACACAACAAAAACGAAACTAGGATATACCTTCAGTCTTACTGTGCAACGGACATGGCAATATTAAAGAAGACGGCCGTATCCCCAGGAGAATGAAACGACTCCTGGATATAGATCAGGATCTCGTTTTCAACAAAGTCAATGCTACTTAAATGCGACACGATCACACAGAAACAGAATATTTCCGAAACAGAGTCCTTTCTCTGTAGTTACGGGGGAATGTGAAATACCAAGAGGGGAAATCACCATAAAATATTACAAGTTTAGTGAAAAATATCACAAGTGTTTTTCATTTAAAAAGCATATTTTTGTTTTTCAGGCTCAAACTCCTGGTCTGTGCATGACAGGTACGTGTTGTACCATTGAGCTATAGTTTCAGCTAAAACTTTTAACAAGACAAATAATAATGGCAAGAACGGTGAGGGCACAGAAAAAGAAAAGAAAAGAAAAATCTTAAGCAAAAGAACTAATTGCAAAAGGCCTGAATAGTGGATAACTATAAACTGGATACTTTAAAGCATGTTTGGCATGTGTGCGTGATACAGTGTAATGCCCCCGTCTAAGATGACTTTAGATTCTAGGACCACTTTGACTTTGGATTCATAGCTGAGATTTGAGCTGCTAGGTTAACAACCAGAGCTCCATTGTTTGCTTCCACATGTTGATGAATTGAATTTGTAGCTGCTTGGTGATAGTGACTGATGAAAGCCTAAGGTTGTGTCATCAGGCTCTCACCTTCTCATTCCCTTGCCTGGAGGAAGACTGAGAACCTTTTCTCCCACCTGAGAGGTAATAGGAGTGAGCTGGACTCCTAGGACATGCTACTCAATCCTGTGGAACCTCATCTGAGCATGTGTAACATCCAGTAACATGTCTGTATGACAGTGAGGCGGTGCCTGCTCTGCAACAAAAGGCATTCATGACGGGGGTCTGCCTGGGGAAGTATCCTCTGGCTGATGAAGGGGAGCACTGGGTAGAGGTTGGATGTGAAGAGTGACCTGGTCTTCTAAGAACACTGCTGCCCAGTTCCAGCTGACTGCCAGGTCAGTGATGGAAAGGTCCATGTTAGTGCTAAAGTGGACAATTCCAATTCAGTAGAGTGACCAATACTTATAAAAAGCACAGGTTTCCAAAGACATGACTCTTTAATTGCAAGGGCAGCGGTTTTAAACAATTTTCTTTAAGTTAGAAAAGCAATATAAATATAAAATAATAGTTTAAAAAGCACACTGTAAGGTGACAACTCAACTCTAGTCAATCACTATGGCATTTCTTTCTTCCGGTCTCATCATTCTGAGCTTTGTAGTTATCCCTACTGACTTGCCAACTTTGGACTCCTTGCTATGAAGCATGATATATTTAGTATAAATGCAGTGTTGTTCATTTTCCATCGTCCACTCAACTCTCAGGTTTTTATCTATTCTTTTACAGTTACATACACAGACACACAGACACACACACACACACACAGATACACAGACACATACAGACACACACACACACATACACAGACACACACACACACACACACAGAGTTCTTCGATGAGGGTCCCCATTATCCTTTCCATTGAATCACTTCTTCCCAAGTCTCCCCACCTGCTTTTATTCACTCCTCCTCCTCCTCCTCCTCCTCCTCCTCCTCCTCCTCCTCTTCCTCCTCCTCCTCCTCCTCCTTCTTTTTTTGTGATCCACTGCATCTAATCACAGTTACCTTCATGATCACGGATGATGGATTATTTGCTTGAGTCAGGGCAATATGCCAGTGGCTACAACTGCCCCAGAGGAGTGTGACTTCCTCTCCTACCACAACCTTTGACTCTTTATAGCTCCTCTGACATGACTGAAGCCTATGAGCACCCCTCAACCAACCGTGATAGAATGTTGATGGGCCTAGTACATCAACTGTGAGTTCCTGGTGCAGTAGCATGTCACAAACAGAAGTTTTACAGCACTCTTTCCCACCCTCTAGCTCTTACATTCTTTCCGCTCTAGCTTTTGTGTTGTTCTCCGAACCTTAGAGGGATGATATTAATATCCCATTTAGGGTTGAGCACTCATTGAGAAATTCTGCGTTTCTATATTGATCGTCACCCACCATAAACAGAAACCTTCAAGCAGACCGCAGAGAAACACTGATTTATGGGTAGAAATATAAATATTTAGAGGGCAGTTTGATACCATGCCTACTTAGCAAAACAAGAGTAGTAGGTTCTCCCCTATGGCCTATGATCTCTCTAGATATGAACTTTGAATAGATTTATAGTGCTCATAGTATGAGGTATGTGTTCATTCTGAGTAGACCTAAAATCTTATCAGAACGCACTTGGTTACCCCTATTATGGCCATGCCACTGTTGTATTGGTGAACATCGCTTATGCGATAGAATGATATTATGGTTTTCTGGTTGTAGAGTTGGGTAAGACCATTGATAAGTTTTTTTGTCTTGCAGCCTGCATGTATTACACTTCAACAATAGTCTTATCATCTAGTTCTAGTGGATGTCAGTCAAAGAAAAATGACAAGAACTTCTTGTTTTGAGAGCCTTGTTTTGGGGCCTCCCTTTCTGTTGCTGTGAAGATCGTGACCCAAACAACTCTTGTAAAGGAAAACATTTAATTGGGGTGGCTTGCCTGAAGTTCAGAGGTTCAGCTCATTATATATATGCTGGGACATGGTAGCGTGCAGGCAGACATGGTGTTGGAGAAGTAGATGAGAATCCCACATCTCGTAGGCAAACAGAAGTGATCCTCCTACACTGGGAGGCATCTTGAGCATATATGAAACCTCAAAGCCCACCTCCACAGTGACACACTTCTGCAACAAGACCACACCTACACCAACAAGGCCATATCTCCTAATACACCCTCTAGGGGCCATTTTCTTTCAAACCACCACACCGACCAATTGCTGATACGGAGGGTACCTCATAACTGATATTTGGATTTTTGTGGTTGTTGTTAGTAATATTGCTTCTGGAAACATCATTATGCATCCACACAGGCAATTTTCCTTCAAACTGTTTTTAAAGTTATTTTTAAAAGTTTTGTTTGTTACATTTATTGTGTATGTGTGTATGTGTCCTAAGGCATGCACATGAATATGAAGGTCAGAGGACAATTTGTGAGATTAGTTGTCTTCTACCAATTCTGGTCACTGAACTCAGGTTGCCAGCCTTCGTGGCAAATACCCTTACCTACTGAGCTATCTCACTGACCCTAGCATATCTTTTAGTTTTCTTATAAATTCCCATTTTTATACACGTTTTGAATTGATTAGCCCTCCACCCCACCTTCTCACCCTCCTCATAACCCACCCCAATCCATGCTTGAACCCTTCCATCCCCAGTATTTCCCTTCTACTTCATTACCACCTATACTGTACTTGCTTAAGGAACCACCACCTCCCAGGACCCCTTCGTGGCTTCCTGGCCTCTGTAAGCATTCTAACTTAAAGACGAAAGTCTAAGAGTCTCAAGCTAGGATCTACAGCTGAGTGAGAACATGCAATATTTGTCTTTTTGGGACCGAGTTACTCCACCCATTACAGTATTTTCTAGTTCATCATTTACATGTAAATTTCATAATTTCATTTCTCTTTACAACTGAATAAAATTCTGTTGTGCATGTATATCACCTCATTCTTAAGTTTTATGAGTTCGGTAAGGCTATTCCATGGAATATATATTATGGCTTGGCTCTTAGACACCTCCCAAAGACTCTTGTGTTGAAGCTTAATCTCCAGAAGATGGTGCTATTGAAAGGTGGTAGAACTTTGGAAGCAAGTTAAGCATGGGGCTGGTCCCTGAAGAGGATAATGGGATTCTGGCTTTTTTTTTTTAACTTCCTGGTCATCATGAAGTGAGCCGTTTTGTTCAACCACAAGTTCCCTACCAGGACGCTATGCCCCCATATCTCCCAAACAGTAGTCCTTACCCTCTGTGGAATAAGGCATCTGAACCCATGAACCCAAACAGTCTTTCATTTAAATTTGTTAATCTTAGTATTTTCTCACACTAATAAGAAATAACCCAATATATTTACAATTTTAAGCATATACATTCAAATTTCTTAATGACTTACTGGAATTAGATTTGCATTTACTTTCTGCTATGAATAGTTAATTCACTTATACTTTTTTGTAGCTCTTCTTGTTTTCTTTCAGATTAGATTAGATTAATTACATAATTTTTATGCTGCAAAAGTTTACATTTACATTTTCTTTTGTAATTTATATTCTGTGTATTTAGTTCTTTGATTGAAATTTAAAAGTAGTCCTATGCTTGTGCTAATAATAATGACCTCACCATTGCGCTGGCTAGTTTATGTCAACTTGACAAAAGCTGGGATCGCTGAAGAGGGGGAGGCTCAATTGTGAAGATACCTCCTTAAGATCAGGCTGCAGGTGACACTGTAGGGCAATTTCTTAGTGATTGATGGGGAGGACCCAGCCCACTACAGGTGGGGCCACTTCTGGGCAGGTGGTCCTCGGTTCTATGAGAGAGCAGACTGAGCAAGCCGAGGAGAACAAGCTAAGCCAGTAAGCAGCACCCCTCAGTGGCTTCTACTTCCAGCTTCCTGCCCTGTTTGAGTTCCTGTCCTGACTTCCTTCAGCGATTGACAGTGATATGGAAGCGTAAGCCAATAAACCCTTTTCTCCCAAGTGCTTTGGTCATGGTGTTTCACCACAGCCACAGCAGCCCTAACTAAGACAGCTGGGACCGGGACAGTGGGGTATTGCTGTGACAGACCTGGCCATGTTGGTTTTGGGGGGACAGTGGAAGGACTTTGGGACTTTGGCTAGAAGAGTCATTGTGTGTTGAGAGTTCAGTGAGCTGTTCTGTAGGAGTTTGGGAGATAAGAAAGTTGAGACCAGTGCACATCAGTGTAAGGGTGTTGGATCTTTTGGAACTGGAGTTACAGACAGTTGTGAGCTGCCATGAGGGCTCTAAGAATTGAACCTGGGTCCTCTGGAAGAGCAGCCAGTGCTCTTAACTGCTGAGCCATCTCTCTAGCTCCCAACTTCGAAAAATTAAGTGTTTGAATTTTTAAAGATTGTGGGACCTTTAAAATTTGGAATATTTTATATTGTGATGCTCATATTAATATTAGATATTGGTGAATGAATAAAAAAGGCAAGGTTGTGGCTTAACAGTGATGTGTTTATGTGTCAAGTTGACAAGAGGACAGTTGTCCTCTCTAATTTATGTCAATTTGACACAAGTCAGTCATTGGAAAACAGAGAGGCTCAATTGAGAAAATGCCTCCACACGACTGGGCTGTAGGAAAGTCTGTAGGGCAACTTCTTAGTGATTGATGGGGGAGGGCCCCGTCCACTACAATGGGGGCCATCTCTGAGCAGATGTTCTTGGATTTTATAAGAAAGCAAGCTGAGCAAACTATGAGGTACAAGCGAGTAAGCAGGGCTTCTCAATGGCTTGAGCATCAGCTCCTGCCTCCAGGTTCCTGCCCTGTTTGAGTTCCTATCCTACTTCCTTCAGTGATGAACAGTGATGTGCAAGCATAAGTCAAATATCATAGCATTTCTATTGTTTTGAAGAGACACCGTGGCCACAATAACTCTGGTTTTGTTTGTTTGTTGTTGTTTTTATTTCTCAGGACAATGTTTCTCTGTGTAGCAGCCCTAGATGTCCTGGAATTTGCTCTGTAGACCAGGCTGGCTTTGAGCTCATGGAGATCCATCTGTGTCTGCTTCCCAAGTGTTGGGGTTAAAGGTGTGCACCACCACTGCCTGGCCACAGTAACTCTTAGAAAAGAAAACATTTGATTGGGGCTGGCTTACAGTTTCAGAGGTTTAGTTTGTTATCATCATGGCAGGACATGATGTATGTAGGCAAACATGGTGCTGAAGAAGATGCTGAGAGTTCTACATGTTAATCTGCAGGCCACAGGAAGGGAACTGTGTACCATACTGGGTGTAGCTTGAGCATATATGAGACCTCAAAGCCCACCTCCACAGTGACACACTTCCTCCAACAGGCTACATCTACTCCAACAAAGCCACACCTCCTATTGGTGCCACTTCGTATGGGTCAAACATTCAAACACATGAGTCTGTGGGGCCCATAGCCCTTCAAACAACCACAGCAAATAAACCCTTTCCTCCCCACGTTGCTTTGGTCCTGGTGTTTCAATACAGCAACAGTAACCCTAACTAAGGCAATCATCAAGAGGTGTGTGGTTAGACCTAGGACTAAGAAACTGAGCTTGGCTGGGCAGCCTATTCTCCTCACTTGAGGACTCTTTTCAGCATTAAGGTCAAGGAATTATTTTAATAGTATAGGATGCATCACTTATGGGTCAACCACATTCATTCTTAGTCTATCTCTGATGCCTTTGTTCCTTTCCAAAAATATTTTTTGAATAATTATTTTTCATGCATAATTCACAAAAACAAATTTTTCAGTCTTTGCATCTCTGCAAATACATTTATTTTGCATGTGTGTGAACTTATACATGAGCATGCACAGAGACACAAGGACCTTGTCCTGTCCTGCTCTCCCCCTCTGCCTGTGATCTACAGGGATGGGCCAAGCAGAATCTAAACAGGCCTTGCCCGGTTCTAAACTTACTACTAGATCAGGTCTCTTTGGCATAACCATGTCTGTTTACAACCCTTCATTAAATGGCACAGAAAATCTGGTCTCCCTGGATCTTTCACGTTTTTGTTTCTGAAACCCCCTCCATCATATGAGACTTTGTCGAATATATTTGTTTCTCTTTGAAGGGTGTCCATCATGATATTCGGGATGAGTAAGGAAGGGGTATTGCCTCTTTACCCTTCCAGTGAAGCTCAGGTTTATACGGAATTCTAAGTTTGCAGGCATTATTAACTGTGGATAATATGCCTATTATCCTAGTGGTTCCTACATAGAGCCAGGGGAGTCTCAGGATTGAGGTCAGCCTGGGCTGTGTAGGGAGAACTTGTCTCAAAAACAAAGGAGAAAGATAATAAAAACAACAAGAAACACTTTAAAGCATTGTTCTATTTACCTTTGAAATACCAAATGTTGATGGAAATTCCTTCATTCCACCCTTATTATTTTATGGATGATCCCCCTCCCCCATAGCTATGTTTCCTTTTGATCCTTGGGTCTTTGAAACGCCATCAGATCATGTCATGTAGTGGCTCTATTTTTCCTCCTCTTTTCCTCCTTCCTTCACAGGTTAGCAGGTCTTGTAAGTCTGAAGACTCATGCCCTTTCTTTAGGTCAGAGGACGCTCATCACATCATGTCTCTGCTCATTTCTTCCCTTAAGTCTTCATCTAATGATTCAAAAGACCTCAGAAGCCAGCTTTTGACCCTCTATGAATTTGATTCTCACATTTTAGCTTGTCTTGTACCACATTCCACAGATTTCTTTGCGAATGGGTGTAGACACAAGTCCTGACACTCTCATATTTTTATGTTCTTGAGCTATGATTTGATAGGTTTCCAAGTTTTCTTTTTTAGATCTCTTTGTTTTGTTCATAATGCATTCAGATATTCAGATTTTTCCATTGAGTTTTTAAATTTAAATATTATGCTTTTCTGTTTCCAGGAATTAGTTTTTTGTTCTCTGAGAACCGTAAGAAAAACAGCATTTTGTTTTTGGTTATTGGATAATTGTCCTCATGAATCTTTACTGAAACTAATTGAAACTTAAGCAAAATTATCGTGTACTTTCTGACTAATCTCTTTTCTCTCTGAGGTAAATTACTCCCTCTCCCTTTCTTTGTAATTTCACAGAATATTTAATAATTCTTTGAATGTGTCCCCATATATGTATATTCTTAGGAGTTCTTGAGCCTTTAAGAGAAATTAAAAAGCTGGTTTTCAATTTAGTGACAATCTCTTGAAATATCACTTCCAGGTTCCAGAACATCTTGTGTAACAACAATGTCAGAATCCATCCATGTTTGATTCTGTATTTATTGCACCGTTTGGGACTTGTGCTCACTAAATTACATCAGAAGCTAGTGTAGGATGATAACATCTATAATTAGCACCTGACCCAAGATGAAAACACATGTATTGATTCTGCTTTACTCATAGGTGAGTGAATACAGGTTATAATATCAACATTATAACCATTTGAGAAATGAAAACCATTAACAAGTGTTTGGGGATTATACTATAAACTGGAACTCTTGGGGTGATCCAAATCGGCTGACCACCCTATTCAAGGCTGAGCAACTTTTATTTATTTTTAATTTGAATCGTTTATTATTTAGTTTTTTGGGGAGAGAGGATCTCATGTAGCTTAGGCTGGCTTAAAAGTAGCTATGTAGTCAAGGATGACCTTGAACTCCTGTACCTCCTGAGTGGCGGGACCACGCCTCCATGGCAAACTTGTGTTCCTGGGACTTGAGTCCCGGATTTTGTACATGCTAGGCAAGAAGTCCACAAACTAAGGCTGATCCCCGGCTCTAAGAGAAGCTGTACTTTACACTTTTCTCCAATGGCAGTTGTATTGTCACTGTCTCCTCTCTGCTTCAGTTTGAATGCCCAGTTCTGATTCAAGACCCCCTCTAGGCAAATCTCTCCTCTCTCCAGGGAGAGATTCTCAAGCTTTAACCAGAAGGCAAACTGTTAGGTGATCTGCAGGCATGGGTGGGAGGGTGGGGGTGGGAGCATCATTGGTTCAGCTGCTCCAAACACAGTTCTTTTAATTAATTGCTCTCATGGTTTCTCACTCCCCTCCCCGCCACCTCCTCCTACCCCTAGCTTTGCATTTGTTGACTCTGAGCTTGGAACTTGGCCAAAATTCTACTGCAGCCTCATTCCACTCTCACTTGGGTCTCCTGTGCTTTCTGTCTGCAGTAACACCTCCGTTTCTCGTCCTCTTAAGTTTTCATTGCCTTGCTTTATTTCACTTGTCTGTTTATTTGAGGGGTACCAGGCACTCATATGTGGTATCCGTGAACCCTTTCTCTGAGTTATACCCGCAGTCCAGGTCTCATATTTCAAAACTTACCTTTGCTATTCTTTATTCAGCTTCTTTAGAAGACAGCAAGGCAGGTTTCTGCTTTCAGAACATCACTGTAGACGAGATCTCCCTGCTCTATGACTTCAAATTTGTACCTAAAATAGATGGGTCTGCTCCCCTATGCTCAACCTTAATGTAAAAGCTCAGCTACGCTGAGAAAGACCCCCTTAGGAGACTCCTACCCTTTCTGTTCTCTCCTGTTTGTCCCTAAATAGACTCCCTACCCGTCATTCTAGGAAGTAATCCCTTCTCAGGAATAACTGAATGAAAACTCCACTCTGTCTTTAGTTTACTGTCTTCCCAGTTCATGCCCAGATTAAGTTAAAGGCTCTCAAGTCTTTTAAGTAGAAGAGTGTCTTTGTTCTGCGTCCTAGCAAGCCACCCTGGATGCCACCCTGGACTGCACAGTGTACTCTGGCTTCTGGACTGGGTTGGTAGAGAAGAGGCCAAGGGATGGTGGGACAAAGACAGGGAAGAGAGACATGTTCAAGGTTTGTGCAGTTGGTGTCAAAGGTGAGTGCAGAGTATCCATGCTGTGATGGTTCAGGAAGGGAAGGCTTTGGGAAGTTCTAGAATTTCATGGAGCTGTTTGAATAGCAGTCTTGCACAATAGCTGAGGAAGAATACACATCTCCCCAAGGGTGAT